TATATTTTCATTTTAGCACAATAGTTACAAAAAAATTAATTAAAATTAAGTTAAAAAGAAACTCACCGATTTAGCGGAATGAAAATAAAAGTCTGAAAAAAAAATCGAAAAAATATTTAACACATAATTTCAAATTTTTAAATATGTAATTAAATACATTGTGACCGAAAAGCTTCCGGAAATTTTAAATAAAACGCAAAATTCTTAATCTTCATCAATATTTATTTTATCTCCTTCAAAATATGCTCCATTAGAAGCGATACACAAATGCCAACGTTTCTTCCAATCATCAAAACATTTTTTATAGGCGCTTTCCGGTATGGCTTTGAGTTCCCTCTGCGAATTCTGTTTTACGTCTTCTATGGATTCAAAACGCGTTCCTCTGAGTGGTAATTTGAGGTTGGGAAACAGGAAAAAGTCACACGGTGCAAGATCAGGTGAATACGGTGGCTGTTCGATGGTATTTATTGAATGTTTGGCCTTAAAATCGTTGATAATGTTGAACAAATTGAGGTGAATCGGAACAAGCCGGGCGTTGACACGTCGCATACACAAATTGTCCACCAAAATCAAACGAGCCATCTCACGACCGATGCCTAGCTCTCGTGCTATCTCTCTAACACTCACATGAGGATTTTTGAACACGATTTCCTTTGCCTTTTCAATGTTTTCGTCGGTGGTAGAGGTCGAAGGTCGTCCAGAACGCGGCATGTCTTCGACGGTCGTACGACAGTCCTGAAAGGCTTTGTACCACTCATAAACTTGAGTTTTCGATAAAACTGATTCCCCATAAGCCTTTTGTAGCATTCGCAACGATTCTGCACACGAAATTTCGTTCGAAAAACAAAATTTGATGCAAACTCTTTGTTCAATATTTTTTTCCATTGTTTTTTTCGCAACGCACTACTGAGGTGAACTGGTTTCAACAGCTGCCGTAAACGAACTGTCCGACAGATCGCGCTCATTTGGCATAGTAATTAAGACAGTGCTGCCACTACATAAACTTAAAATATCGAAAAATATACAGCGCGCGAATTTTAAATGAGAACCTCCGAAAACTTTTCGGTCACAATGTATAATATAATAGGAGTACACTAGGTTAGGTTAGATTATACCGACGATCCCTAGTGGATCCACTTAGATAGGAGTATACTAAAGTTAAAACAATTTTTTTTAAAGTGTATCTATATATTTCCATATATAATATACCAAAACAAATATCTGTAATAGTTCAATCAAAAAAGACTTCACTAGAATTTTTTTTATTTAATCAAAAATCTAACTTAAGTAATGGTTGGCATTTTATGTTTTAGAGATATGTATGTGAAATGAGTGAATGTACTATAAAGTCATGATGTGTTTAATTAGTGCAGTAAGGTCTTAAAAAATTGAACCCATTTTTTACATAGTATCACAATATAGTCCCACTATAATATTGTCTCGAAAAGATCTCCATCGGTATACCTAAATATGAGCACAGAACTTTAATTCCAATAATTATTCCCATTAGTTTATATTTTAATTCAATATAAACTCTTTTATCTCTTATTATTAGTTATTAAATATATACTCCCCTTTTTTTCTTATATAACACCGTTAATCAACTAAGTACTCATCTTTAAACACATCCGATTTTAAGTGAGAATTGCAATACATGTGTGTTTATCTCAAAATATGTAGAAAGATATACTTAAGGTAATAATTTTTTTAACAAATCATTTGATATTACAAAAATAATCACGTAATTCGAGTTTAATATTTTTTATGTCCCAATAGTTCTATTTAATGAAAGGTTTTGAAAACAAATACGGTTGATTTGATTATTATTCCATATAGTATATAATTTATAATAATAATGGTAAAGAAATATTTCGATCGCCTAGCCGTTATGGATAAAATATTAGAAACTCCAACACAATTTTTTTGAATATATATCTAAGGTTATATCTCACAAGACTACTTGTGAGCTTGATCTAATAGGCTAATGGTTTCAAATATTTTCCAAAAACAAAGCTCTTACGGCTATAAATTACACGACCAAAGCCGCCATGTCACACTTGCAGTTCGAAGTACAATATAGTCATTGAAGATATGCTTTCATAACTCGTTAATTTTTCTGACTATACGCATATTACATGCAGAATACTCTCCTTGTGAAAATCACCCTAAGCAAGATCACAAAAATATGGAAAAATAGGACTAAATCATTGTTCATTACTTTGTTTCGGGAGGCATATGGGTGGTGATATTTCGAAATTTTAATTTTTAAACAAACAAAATGATGGCACCATAATAATGATGACACTATACTGTATAAACAAGTCGAAGATATTACAATTACTTATTAAAACCAATATTAGTCTACGCATGAACTGATTACCTATGAATTCGCTAGCACCAACTGCCAGTAAGTCATGTGAGCAACATGAAGAATAAATACTTGCTAAAATATATACCTCCAGAACAAGTTGCAACCTTTAGAATCTGTTCACATTTAGCAATTTTACCATATTTCTCAAGAGTTTCTCTGCAACAGAGCGTTCCATGATATAGTTTAAAGCTTTAAGATATAGTCAATCATAATACAATTATGATTGATATATGATTGAAGTTTTATAAAATTGTAAGGTTTTATATGGATAACATACACTTAAGATAATTTTAAAAGGACAGCAGTAAGATCATGGGTCGATCGAGAAATAATTTAAGGAATACCAATGTCCAAAACAATAATATTAAAATATTGGATTAGTCGATATGGCAAAAAAGCTGTGACGAAAGCTTTGATCTACCAAGGGTTCTGATGCTATAAAAATGGAAAGTATTAAAATAGGAATTATTATTTTTCAATAGTTTTACTACTTCAATTGGAAGAATATATCACATTATAAATTTAAATATATATCACATTAAAATTATATTTCAATGTATAATTAAATATAGATTATTACATCTTTGAAAGCAATTACAAAAAAATATTTTAAAACGACGTTGTTATGATGAGTATTTAAATCTCGGGTGATATGTAGATAGGTAATGTGTAGGTAATCGAAATAATGAAGAGCATCGTAGCGTAGAAAGACTATTACTGTCCTAATTTTAAAATTTTCTAAGTAACAAAACTTAGTAGGTACATCAATGAAAGCTTCTTCATTGATATGCCTTCTGAGTCTTTGGTGTTGTATCTTATCGTATTTTTATACTATGATGTACATCGTTGTCTTATGTTGAGGTTTTTTTCAAATGAGTACAACTGGGCATTTTTACTCTTTGTTAGCTGGGGGATTTCTATAGAGTCCCTCCCTTCTCTTTAACTAATTTATGTTTTCCTCACAAGTTTCGCTGATTATTCGATGACTGATCTAATATCTGCATACCGCTCCGTACGGCTCGTAACTGCTCTAAGATTAGATAGTGCTATGTAGGGCACTATTTTTTGACCGTGTCTATTTTGAAGTCTCATTTCATATTATTCGTGCAGATACATCATTGTGTGTATACAAATATATCGGAGTATATTAACAATGCTTCTTAATATTCTTTTCTAATAGTACTAAATTATTGTAATATACTTACTATATTTTAGTTTTGCGCAGCTCCTCATTTAAATTATAGGTCTTATTTTTGTACAATAAATTTATAGAATGTGGATGGCACTTAGATTTTACTTAAAACTTAGTGTTTGTTTTTGTATTGAAAATTTTCTTCATTAAAGAAAACAGAACTTTAAATAAATTTAAGTAAATTTTTTATAAAGTCTAGGACGCTAATATAAATCTAAGTTTTTATATAGTACACTATAAATAAGAGATTCTGCAATTGAATATTTTATTTGAAGGAAAACGCATTTGTATTGCAACTGACGATAAAATTGTATATTTACTCTGAGCTCAATTAGAATTTATTGTCCATTCTATGAAGGAAAAAGAAATCTATAACATAATACCATTGACAATGGAAAGTAGTTGAGAAATTCTATAAAATTGAACTGAAATAAGATATCTTTGTGTCAGTAATTTAAAACCATTGCAATGCTCTGCGTGTCCCTGTGCAACAATTCTTATACAAATGTATTAAATAAAAAAGGTATAAATGGTGAATGTTTAGTGTCATTTGTGCATCCGTAAATGCAGACATCCTCCGCCTCACGTCATCGTATGATGCACGGAACGAAAGCACCGAGGAACATGTGCTGCGCTGAATGTCGTTTTGTAACGCCAATTATGGCTCATAATTTGAATTCATTGTGTTGCGTTGTGTTAAGCTGTGCACAAAGACATAAAAATTGTAAAGATATGACGAAACGAAAGAATAAGATCATTTCATGCCTTAACAAAAACTCACTAAATTCAAAAAAAAACTTAATGCATACCAAAGACAGACAATTCAACAAAAACAAAAACAAAAAAACACGCAACCAGAATTGCTGTAAGTAAAGATACGGCCCAGAGGCAAATACATCATTTCCCAGAGTACAATTAAAGTAAAAGAAAAAAGCGGTAAAGAAATTTTAAAACGTTTGCTGGTGCGTAACCGAGCGGCAAATGAGCAAGGGCCCGATCCAAATGCTAGGCTATGATCAATGCAAACTCACGTACCCACAGAAAGAAAAGAACAGCACACAAACAGATATAATTACTCCAAGAAGAAAATTAGGTTCTGTTATGCGGCTACCTTAGCCAAAAAGAAACTGAAAAATGTTTCAACAAAAGCAGGTAGCTGAAGTAGATAACAGAGCGCACTCAAATTCAAAGAGAAATATTAATGATCTGCCTTGAATTTCGGAGAGACGTACATACAAACCTAATCTATTACAATTCTTCATAACACTAGCAACCAAAATAAACTAACTCAATCTACTATGCAATTTACTCTGAGCAATGAAGAATGAGCACAAATCTTATAGCTACTGTTGATCGTATCTGGTGCTGCTCAAATGTAAACAAAATATCTTTGAGATACGCATTTGTAAATAGCCACAAGCGGCAAAAAATAGTTTATACAGAGATTTCGTTGTAGACGGACGTGTTTTATTAAGAGCTAAAAAAGCGTAAGAAGTACTTTATGTTGAAATTTGAAATTCTTGTAGATCAAGTGTACGCAATTGAAGAGAAAGTCTTGCACAAATACCGCTAAGTGAATGCCATCGGAGAAGATACGTGTGCCAAGCAATAATTAATCATTAAGTAAATAAAAGGTGTCTGTATAAAATCAGCAGAATTTTTAATTTATAAGTATAAAATGGAAAGCGTAACGCGCTCATTTAATTACGAACTGCCGCGAGATATACAATTCGATAAATACGCACAACAAATACTGGAAAACAGTAAAAATATTGCAAATACCGCTTTAGAATCAACGCCCACCATAACGACGATTGATCCCACAACGGCCTCCAGCGATTTTCTACGCAAATTAGGCGCAACTCTTTTAAATTCAATACAACTTCAAACTCTTTCCAAAACTCCAAATACAGCAGCTAGTGGCAAAGTGAATATGGACATGGAGTTCACACCAAATCACGTTGCTATAGACTCATCCGGTTTTGATACCATTGATGAATTGCAAAAACAATTGGAATACGATAAATTCATGAATGAAGTCTGGATGGGTATAGTCTTGACATTGATCTTAATCACTCTGGTGTTTTGTGTTTGTTCCTGCTTTTTGTATTACCAGTTCAAGACATGGAAGAGAAATTGTAAGTATGAAAGATAATTTACTTGAAGTAAAAATACTTAAAAAAATTATTACTTATTTATTTATTAATTTTTTTTTTTTTTAATAAGTGAAGTGTGTAAATATTTGTGTATTTAAAATAAAAAATTTTTCCGGTTTTATTAAGTTATTAAATAAATATTTAACGAGATTTAAGTTAAATTTTGCTATGTTTTTTAAAGATAAGCATTAAATAGAAGAAACTTATGTGAAAGAAGGCCATGACCTAATTGTTATAAATATTTATTTTTATTTTTAGTAACATAATAATAAAATTAATTTAATAAAATTAAGTTGCTAATTTGTTGTCATGAAATATATACAATAAAATTTGTCGTGCAAGACATTTTACTACATTTAAACAATTAATAATGTGAAAATGATTTTTATATTAGTTTGGGAAATATTTAAAAAAATTAATAAAGAATATAAACTATATATACTATATCATTTTCTATGCTAGATGTTTTAATTTTAGCAGTGTAATGCTTTTTTCTTTTTCGTAACATTTTCGAAATTTTTAATCGGTAAATGCGGATACAATCTAGATTTACGATCTGCTAAATTTTGTTGCTCCAGGTCAACTAATCGAAAATGCCACAAGTAACGAAAAAAAACATGACTCTGCTAAATTTAAAAAATCTAGCATAATTAATTTATTAATTTTTTAAAATATTACGCAAAATATGTGATTTTAGATTTAAACTCACATTAAAATTCGATTTACCGGCTTTTCAGTTTATGCTCAATTAAGTGATCTAGTACAACAAATCTATTAAAGACACAGAACTCCGCTTCGCATGATGTCCAGAACTCAGTTAATTGCTTGTGACATAGACTAATTACTACATAGAGTTGAAATTTTTTTATTAACGTTTTAATACCACTTAAGTTCGGTAATGGTAGTGATATAATAATTTTACTAGTAGTGAGCTAGAATATTACTTTCTTTCCTAAAGTCTCTTTTTAAAATTTTTTATATTAATCTATTTCATTAAATATAACTACTACTTCTTATGAATAAATATAAAGTGCAGTTGCATTTTCCGGTACAACAATTGTTAAATTATTTAAAACAAATTAATTTGTTTAAAACTTTAATATTAATTATTAAATGTAAATATCTTAAATATATTTTCATTTTTAATATGAAAGTCATTTTGTTTGTGTCAAAACCATGTCTGCACTTATAAAATTATTATGAAATTTTTATAACTCTCTTTTATTGATATAATTTTTTTTTCGACAGTGTTAAAATTTTTTAAATAATTTTTATACAATACGCCACAAATTGCTCTTTTCATCAAAGGTTACCAACCTACAATCTTATCAAATCCCAACAAATATATCTAGCTACATATAAATACATATACATGCATAAACATAAATATTTAATCGAATTAGTTGAATATTTATGGGATCTTGGCAATATGGTCTTGTGCTTCATTCTTCTTCCATTCTGAAACCGCATGAAATTATCTAAAGCGACAATATTTGTTTACAGATTAAAGGTGCGATTGTTAAATTGAAGTTGATAATTAAATTGGTCGCAAATATTGTGCACATATACTGCATATATTCTTGATTAAAGTATACTGTAAAAAAAAAATTTTATAAACAAATATTTAAGTTCATTTCATAAAAATTCAGTACATTAACTTTAGCAAGTATTTTTTACATGTTTTTGGTGTTAATTATTTAAATTTAGACGCATTTGTCATAGAAATACAGATATTCCTTATACAACGTATAAATCCTAATCTTTTCAAAAAATCATTTTAACTTTTTTTGAATATTTTTTTAAATAACACCCAATATTTTTTAGTTTATAATTGACATTCATGGATATTTATTTATCATGGACTTCTTGCAAAGAATCTGGAGATATATGTAGAGCACTTATTGATATACACTTCTATCTAACTAAACGTTCATAAACGTTCTAACATTCATAATTTATTTCCTTTCAATAAACGTTCACAGATACTGATTCTTCATTGGCTATTGTTGCTAAGTATTTTAAGATTTATATGTGGCACTTACTTATTGATATTATATATAAGTGAACTCATAATCATAATAAATTATTACTTTTCAATTAGTGTTTGGTGAGTCTGATTCATCACTGACTGAAGTCGTGAAAAATTCAGATTTATGGGTAGCGCTTAGTAATACCCTCTTCAAACTAAGCTACCTACCTCTTTTTCAGATTATAATTGTTAAAATTTTTAAATTTAACAGAAAACAATCTGTCCTAGTAATAGATATAAAAAAAATCCAAGTAATGGACACTACTTTGGAGTTTTTATATCTCCTTTTTAAGAAAAAAGTTTTAATTCATTTTATTAATTTCAATCAATTTTTTTATTATATATATGTTGTTGTTGTGATTTGAGTTATTGAGCTATTGCGCACTTTTACTCTTTTGTGGCTGGGGGGCTTATCCCTGCCCCACACTAAACTTTAACTATACTAGAATCATTATCATAAAGAATAGAGTTAGCATATTTAAGCAAATTATTAAACCAGGACTACTCTATGGCAGTATAGCGTTTTGCCAAGCGCCAAGCTCAACTTTAAAAATTCTTCAAAGAGGGCAAAATATTGCCTTAAGAATACTGGTTAACGCCCCATGGTATGTAAGAGGAGCCGATATCCACAGAGATCTGAGAGTCGATTCAGTCGAAAAATACATTAAAGATCATGCTCTGAAACTGTTCAATACAATTGACAGTCACAATAATCCAACACTCAGTATCCTAAAAATACAGCGAAATTTGATAAACACAGGCAGATACAAGACAATCAGTCATCATATTATATAAGCCCCGTAAGCCCGTATTTTAGTGTGACTTAAAACTGTCCACAGATAAAATAGAGTAAAGGTGCTGATTCACCAACTCAGACATCTGAATATCAATATTAATATTATCATTTATTTATCTTCAAACTGATGACGGACCGTAGATCAAAATATTAGGCCCTCAGGCGTGAAGTGCAGAGACGAGTACCTAGGCAAGATCTCACTGAAAATTTCTCAGCATATTGTATATTCAACGTATGTTATCAATATGTTAAATTCTGCTAAAATTATTTATATTTGTGCTATTAAGAATATACTATATTTAATGCATCTTATTAAGATTTATAAAATATTCAAATATGAATTATATACGACAACAAACTTCTTTAAAACACAACTGTCTTATACTTTTCTTGGGCTTTGGTACAGTAAGACTTTTCTGACCGCAGTACCGACTGAATATATTGCAATAAATGCTAATTATAAATAATAATTCTTATTTACATTTTTATTTAATAATAAAAGTTAATTAAAACTGGCCTTCAGAACTATGAGTTTTGAATTATGAAATATATAAATAAAAATTATAAAATAAATAACACTTATTATTTTAATTGTTATTTAAAACTTGACCTGAAGCCCGGTTAAGTTATAAATAGTTAATACTATTTAATATACCATAAACATATATTAATAATTCATATAAATTTGAAAGTATACTGATCTTAAAAAGTAAATTTTTCAAAACAAATTAAATAACAGTAATTAACATTAGCATAATATTATTAAACATTAATATTTATCATAATAAAAAATATTCTACGCACCAGTATGCAAAAATATTTAAGAAAATGAATATAAATTGCACAAATCAAATGAAAAGATCAAAAATTAAATATTTTAACAATTTATAAGTAAATTAAATAATAAAGATATTTTGAACTGATTTAATTAAAATGAAATAAAAATATTTAATACTGATTTGATATATAAATTTGAATTTTGTGTGTGGTCTACCGATCAAACAAATTTTGTTTACAATATTTTAAAAAAATTTTTATTACTGTTATCTATTTCTGGATATCAGTTAATAAAATATGTGATATTTTAATAAAATATCAAATAAATAAAAAATAATATAATTTAAAAATTTTAAATAAACAAATAATACGTCAATGTATCGGTATCTATACAAGCACATATATATTATATATTGATTGGTATCTATATATTTTATTTTGGCTGATTAATGATGCGTTAACTTTTGATAAAAATTTTACTTTTAATACTTTTCTCCATATATTATTAATAACAAAGTTTCAATAACTATTTTATGCATCACTACTAAATATATTAAAAAGATATGTATATGAGTTTGCTTTTGCTTGGATCATTTTGCATTATCCATATTAGACTGTAACCACAAAATAAACAATAATTTCCACACAAAAGAAGACATCAAAATTAGTTGAAATGAAAACTGAATATAATTTGGGGACTCACAAAATAATAATATGCATATAAAAATAATATAATACGCTTGATCAACAATATAAAAGGGTTATTCATTCCAATTGAAAAAAAATTAAAAAATACTTACAATGCACAAAAGAAATATGAATAAAAAGTATCTTACTAAAAATATCTTAGTAGATAATTAAAGAAACGTGCATTATTGGTATCAAAAAAAAAAGCAATAAAAATAATATTAATTTATTTGTTAAATATTAATAAAAACATATTTTTTTAAATGTATTAAAATTTTGAGATTTCGATCTCATTCTTTTCACATCTCACATTAGTTTCTCGGACTGCTCTAATGATGCTAAAGGACATCACAATATTTGGTGCATATGTGCGAAAGAACCACTTATCGCCAATTCGTCAGCAGTATTCTTTCCATAAAAACAATGTAAAAAAATATCTTGCACAGGATAAATATAGCTCTGTAGTTAAATTTGATCATTTTCTCTTCCATACAATATAATACTATAAAAGGTCCTTAGAGTTCCCGATTAAAAAATTATTATGTTTGGGATTAGTGAAGTAATAATTGTTAAGAATTACTCACTATAGCTAATTCAAACATTAACACATCGGGCGATTATTTATCTATTTAGAACTCGTTTTTGTAATTATCATTATTTTATTCAAATATAGACAATCGCTTAATGTAATAC